TGGTTTTTCCTTTTACTTGCAAAACCTGATGTGTCGGAGTCTGTAAATGATAGAGCTGTGGAAACAGAAGTGAGCAAACTGAAAACAAGCCAGCATGTCCAGGCACTGCGAACCCACAGGTGTGCGGTGCGTGACTGAAGGTGGTGTTATCCCGTCCGAGCCGTATCGGGTTTATCCCAGGGCGAATTGAATCATTTTCTTGTGCTTGAAAGCACTCCTCGTGCAGCTCGGGCATAGCTGCTGTGTGGTGACTTGCTCCAGGTTAGGGTGTTTGTAAGACAGAATTAGAGCCATGACCCCATGGGATGTTTGTTTATTTTTCTGTTTACTTATAGCTTTTGAATTTGGGTTTGGTAACTTTATCCGGTTTGAGCATTGAGATATCAGAATTATTAAGTAGTAGCGGTAAAATTGTGTCTGCGTACAGTCAGACTGTATGTTAGCTGATTAAAAAGATTTTAATAAAATTTTAGTTTTTAAAGCTTTGTTGGGTTGTGATCGATCATTCCAGAACTCACAGTAGAGAGTATGTGGCCAGAAGAAGAAGAAAAACCACCCCAGAATAAGCCTCATAAGCCAAAAGACCAGATGAGAGGGTTAATTTGTCTTTTTTTTTTTTTTTGTCTAAACATGTTTGAAAAGCCTTTGAAGTGAAAGAAAAAAAATATCTGGAGAGCACATTCAGGTACTAGTATGTCTATAACCGTCTGCCTTGGCAAGAAGGAAGGGGTTTATTATATTTTTTTAAACCGAGTGCATTTATGGTGTTTCTGCAAACTTTTGTGGTCATGCAGAGCTTTGTTTTGACTCTAGAAATGTAGGTTTTTGGTAGGGTGTGGAGCGGGAATGGACCTATTGCAACAAGAACTCTCCGCAGTGTAGTATAGTGTCCTCCCAAGCTGAAGCACAGCAAAACCCTGGGCCCTGGATCTGTTCAGGCTTGTGAATCTCAACGGTCTCATGAGTGATAAGATCAGAAATTATGTGTGTTTTAAAGATTCTGGGGGAAATTTTGCTGCCTTCAACAAATAATTTAAACTTATTATGTCTTTTGGCAGGGAGCATACTAAATAATAACTTCGAAGGCCCTAAAATTGATCACATAAATTTTGCTTAATTAAATGTTGTCAGTGTGATTATAATTAAAGCTACTTGAATAAATAACTTTTATTTGGAGCTGATAAACATTACAGGTATGTATTTCACTCTGCCGTTTCATATTCTGGTCTCTGTAGGGTCCTAGTGTTTAAAAAGATTAGTTGAGTATTACACAGCACCTAATTTCTTAAGAAATTGTGATTGATGTAGCCAGCCTGTAAGAACCTCCTTTCCCAACATATATTTAATAGTTTAAGAGGATGTTGTTACAGTTGATTAGTGTCCAATCGACAAAAGATAGCGCGGGGTTAGTAGCACAGAAGCAGTGTCTGTTCTTTTCTCTTCAGAAAACTATATTTCCATTGTTTGCATATGATTAAAATCAAACATACAAATAGATTTTTCTAAATACTTTAAGATAAATTCTGATTTCTGTCTTATTTTTTCACTCTTCCAGGCAAGGACTTAGTTCTGATGCTAGGGAGCGGTCACATGCTGGAGGAGGCTGTGGTGGAGAAGGCACATGGCGTTAATGTGTTAGTTAAACCCTTTGAGGGAACTGCTTTAGTTCAGCTATTAGATTTTTGGTCTAGACTATGGGGGCTGGATTTAATTTCCAGGTCTATCAAAGACTTTTTGTCATAGCGAAATGACTTCTTGTTGCTCAGCTCCCTGTCTGGAAATACAACTGACTCCACGCCGCTTTGGAGGTGTCATGGGGGTGAATGCTCTCAGAAATACCCCTTCCTTGTTTTGAAAGGGAAAGCAAATAAGCATAAGAGAATATAGTATGGTATGGTAAATACTCCTTAGCTTTAATGTAAAGAGTGTACAAACAACAAATAGCTGGGTTATCCATGCAAGCCCAAAAGGGTGTATTTTTTTCTAAAGGACGAGGGGAAGATGCCCTGGATTGGGACAGCGTGGCTGGGTGCCGTGCAGCTCCTGTGCGGTGTTGCAGTGTGATGCCACGATTGATTGGGTTGCAGTCTTGCAAGAAGAGTACTCCTCTAGCAAAATACCTACTTAACTGCAATTATTTTTCTTGTTGCAGCTTGAAATGGACCACTTTAAAGTAGAACTAGATGAAATGGGTATAGCTGTGTTCACCTGTGGATCAGCTGCTGCTGTGGGTGGGGGATGTTAGCCAGGAGCACCGGGAGAGCTGAGATGGTGATATTCTGTTACCGCTGATGTGGGGACTTGCTTGCATGGTCAGTAGAAGCTGGTACATAAATTACATCATCTGGTTTACTATTCTGTAACCCACTTCTCTGGAACTTCACTGTTGTCTCTCAACCAGTATTTTAGAGGCCAAAAAAGGAGCGAGGGAGGGACCAGTACCTTGGTGGTAGTTTCAGGGCGCCTGGGTGTTCCGACTGCTGTAGCTGTTAAACTGGCAGCACCAGAAGTTTCAGTCAACACTTCTAAAATAGAGAAGCCCCCTCCCCCCCCTTATACAACAGTTGGTGGTGCCAGATTTTTAATAGTATGCATATAGGCTAACATCACAGGAGAGTTGAGACAATAGTTGAGTCACTTCCTCACTGTGTGCCTGCCAAGGCCTCATCCTCGCCGCTGGATCCTCATAGGACAGGTGACAGGGTTCCTGCTGCGCTCGGAAAGGGTGGGAGCTCCCCACGGTGTAACCAACACAGTCACCTGGTACAGAGCTACAAAGAGCTCGCAGTTGTTGTAGTTTCTTGGGTTTTCTGCCTTAAAAAAAAAAAAGCTTTGCAATTTTATTACCATTCAGTAATCCAATTTTTTATGAGCACACAAAAAAATTGATTAAACTTGTCAGCTGATGTGTATAACAATGTATTATGGTTCTTTGGAATAGGCTGATAAAATGCACCTGTGAATGCCTGGTATTCCTGCTTCTAAGAAATTAAAATTAACTTCAGGCTTTGGAATACCACCTGTTCTGTGATCAGTTAATAGGTTGTCTTCATATTTTGTAAAACGGCACTATCTATTTAAAGTGGATATTTATTTCAAACATCTGTGGAGATGCTGTTACTTAGTGAGCTGATTGGGTTTGGGTTCATCATACTAATGGGTTGTTGCGTGCTGCTGCAGTTTCTTGCGGTTTTTTTCCTTTTTCCTCTCTGCTTCTTTTGCACATTCTGTGCTGACAGTTCCTCTTGGCTGATTCTTTCTGTTAAAAGCCAGTACTTGGAGGTTACATCAGTAGAAAGTCACACCATTGAGATTGTGTTTTGCAAATGCCCCTCATTTCATTTGGAGATAGTGGAGCAAAGCTTGTGTCATCAAGTCTGGTTCCTTACTGCCAAGGGCAAACTTGAAGTGGCTGACACTTATTCTTAAATTTAACTGTTGCAATGGGCTGTTAAATTTTAATGTGCAATAGTGAAACTAGCTTGTGTGGAGTCTAAGTGAGACTTCCAGAGAAGTAAGCTTGTTTTCATTTGCTTGTGACTTGTAGCTTTATAATGCTACAGCAACTATTTTTATTACATTTCTTTTAATAAAGATTTAGTGTTCTTCTCGCTGTGGACAGCTTTCTCATCTCTTGTCAGGGAATTAAGTTACAGAGACCAGAAATTGCATTAAATGTCTACGTGCAAAGGAGTTATTAAAACACTGTATTGATAGACAAAGGCCTGGAGTGATTATTACGCTCCCATTTATTAGCTAGATAAAATTCAGAAATATCTTGCCTAACCCAATCCCTTTAGAAACAGTTGTGCTTTTTAATACATCTGGTGATTTTGCTTTGATAGGGCAGCTACCTCACAGCTCTCATCTCACATGTTTTGTTAATGTCGTGCCAATCATCGCAGTCACTGTGGTGATCCCTGTCCCAGCTTTTTCCACCCAAAGTTAATGTGGATCATGGGGTCCAGGTTTCAGTGAGAGCTTGGCTAAACAACTCAAAGAATTAGGTGACTGAACAAAGTTCTGGGGGGTGTGAGGATCTAGCCACCTTGGGGGGTCTGGACAGCAGGGTGTTAAGGTGCTGAGGCTCCCCAGGGCTGTTACTCTGCAGAGACACAGCAGCAGAACTAACCCAGGACACCTGGGAGGCCCAAGGGGCAGCAGCTGTGCTGGCCGTGCCCAAAGCTGCTCTGTGACATTCGCACTGCTCCATGCTCCTTCCTGGTGGTAAACACCCTGTACTCAGTGTTGCCAAAAGGAGTTATTTTTAACGGGAGAAAGACCTGGTGTGTAAAAGTTGCTGACACAGCACCAAATGCTGCAGAACTTCTGGCAGTTGGTGTGTTGTCAGTGGAAAGAGCTCACCTGGTTTGTGTATGCTGTGTTAGCACGCTTGATCTCTGAAAACTTAGGCTGTATTACCAATTTTTATGGACTTGCATCGTTCTCTTGGATAATTTAGAGGAGCCTCATTTTTTTTAAAGGAAATCATACAGTAGCTAAAACAAATTTAAAGTAACACACCAGTGACTATCATACCTGGTGTACTTTGCAAGTAGTTTTTTTTATTCAGTGGTGGATAGAGAACAGTTGAAATAGATGGGGAAAGTCCTATACGGTAAAGATCATGTTTTCTGGTAGATTCCTGGAATAAAATGAGATGACAAACCAATGTTTGATACTACTAGAATTGTTTAAATGGAATTCAGTGTGTTGTGTAAGACTGTATGGAAAAATGTAATCTGCAGAAAATCAATCCCCTTTTGTTAACTTTTTTCTACTCACCAGTTGGAGTTTAATCCTGTAAAATAGGAGCTAACGAAGCAAGTATTGATTATATGACTGGTATGTGTTTCAGCTCTTAACAGCATTTTTCTTTCCCTTTGAGATTTTCTAAATTAAACACAAGTTTTTGCTTCGAGGAAGGGGGATTACTGTCCCTGGCTTTATGTTTTGGAGTCTTTAGATTGTATAACTTAAGCACTGACCTTGTATTTCAGGTGAATGGACCTGATGGTATTCTGCAGAATGGAGCTGTGGATGATAACGTGGCTAAAACCAGCCAGCTTCTGGCAGAGTTGAATTTTGAAGAAGATGAAGAAGATACCTATTACACAAAGGATCTTCCTGTGCATGCTTGCAGGTGAGACCTAATCTTTGCCCCAGGCTTATTATTTCCAGAGGGCAGGAGCGCTTTGTGTGAGTGTAAGGTGTATGCTTAAGAGGATTTTTGGATTTTGAGAGCAACTTGCTTGGAGACAGCCACATACAGGTAGGAAGATGGTGCCCTCTGCTGAGCTCGTGTACACTTACAGCTGCCACGTCCTGTAGGGCTCTGGCCTTCCGTGAGGAATAGAAGACTAAGCTAGCCCAGGGCTGGTAATGGTGGGAAGTGTTAGAATGCTTGTGACTCAGAACAGAGGCTTAGCTCGTGTTTGATACTTTCACCAACACTCGTGTTCCCCAATTTTTACTTCCCCTTATTTTTGTATTTTTAATTCCAGTTACTGCGGTATCCATGACCCTGCTTGTGTGGTTTACTGCAACACCAGCAAAAAGTGGTTCTGTAATGGGCGTGGAAATACATCTGGCAGGTAAACAGTCAAATGGTGGAAATGTCAGTCTTGTTTTAGATTGTGTTTTGAAGTGGTGTGTTATGGCTGTGTCTTACGTTTTGGTGGTAATCGAAGTCTAGTGACAAATGTGAGCCTCCAACCTCCTGTTTCGCTTTTCTGCTGTTAACAACTTAGACCTTGATCTCAGCAAAACTTGAATCACTTCTGTAAAGTGAGCTTGCTGCAGCTTCCCCCATCCTGTGTCCTGCAAAGCGCAGGAGAACTGTTTGTCTTGACCTGTTGAGCTTCAGGAGGCTTCTTTCAATTACCAGTAACATAAAAAGAATTTCTCACATTTCCTGTTTGTTCACACTCATCTACCTTAAAACATTCATGCGCTGAGAAACCATTGAGACTGTTAGCAATATCTTTGTGTGGATGAAAAGAGCAAGATCTTACCAATGTCTGCCACAGTCTAAATAGATTTTGTGTCTGTTAATAACTGAGCTGATATATTAAGTTAGAACTAAATCTGATTTTCATATTAACTTCATATAAATGTGTGTCCTCTCTGGTTTCAGCCACATTGTTAATCATCTTGTGAGAGCGAAGTGCAAAGAGGTGACTCTCCATAAAGACGGACCTCTAGGAGAGACTGTCTTGGAATGCTACAACTGTGGATGTCGTAATGTGTTTCTCCTTGGCTTTATTCCAGCTAAGGCAGACTCCGTGGTTGTTTTGCTGTGCAGGTGAGAGAATGCCTTTGTTGGCGTGTTTGTGTCAAGTCTATTGCATAACTTTCTTTCTAAAGGGCAACGCTTGCTTTCATTTTGTACCAAAACATTTTATGTTCTGATTTGCCACCATTTTTCCTTCAGATGATCGTATAGACTTCATGAATTGTATACAAGTAGATAATGCAGTCAAGGAGCATTCTGTTATGCTGAGCAAATGTCTTGGTTCTATAGAAAACTGTTTCTCCCAAATGGAGGAGTCCTTAATGGAAGAAAGGTGTTTTTCCCCTTTTTTTTAAACTGTGATTTTCACATTTGGAAGAGTAACAGGTCGGTTCAGAAAATTACTCCAGAGGCCTACTGGAGTAGTGGCTCTGTTACACAGGATATTTTTCTCTGTACGGTTGTTCTCTGTACAGGGTTGCAGTAGCAAGTACAGGAACTAAACAATGAATTGGCTGAGCAGACTAGGGTTGTTCTGGTTTTTTCCCTTTTAACTGAGATGCTTGGGTTTATCATGCTCTTAAAACAACTCATTTTCACACTTCACACTTCACACAACAGAGTTTTTGTTACACTTGTCTAATTTAATATTTTTTTTCAATATTTTGGTTGTGCAGGCAGCCATGTGCCAGTCAGAGCAGTTTGAAGGATATTAACTGGGACAGTTCACAGTGGCAGCCTCTTATCCAAGATCGCTGTTTCCTTTCGTGGCTGGTAAAGATTCCATCTGAACAGGAACAGCTGAGAGCACGTCAGATTACAGCCCAGCAGATTAACAAGCTGGAAGAACTTTGGAAGGTATGTGCTGCTTTTCAAATGTTCGTTATATTTTACCAAGTGCTAATTTTGTGTTTTTTATGAAGGAGAGACAAGACTTAGCTACTACATAAGGCAGGGAACATACTTAAATCACATGAGGTTTACACCTTGCAGATTTGACAAGCAGTGCACCTGGGAACTGATCAAAGGATTCAGGAGATCATTTATCATATCAAAGTAGGAAGGTTTCACCCTTAGGTTCTTCAGCTCTGTTCAAGTTGCACTGTCAGGCAATCTGACAAAACAACGGTCTCTTCCCCATCTCAAGTCTTTCATTTGTTTCTGCTTTATATGATCACTAGCTGCGTAGGGAACTGCTAGTCCGTGCTTGGTATTCAGTTATTGCTTTCAAGAGGTTTTTCTGTACATCCTTCAGTGCATAACAAACCTGACTGGATGTGAGTGAGCACGGTATGTAATGACTCGGTGTAGTTTTAACAGGTTATTATACCTTGATGTAACTTCCTGTAATAGTAAAACACGGTGTTATCAGTCCTGTTGCACAGTGAGAGATTGTCACTTGTTTATACTTAAATCTTCAAAACAAAATGTTTGTGCTTTAAATTCTAGGAAAACCCATCTGCAACCCTTGAGGACTTAGAAAAGCCTGGTGTTGATGAAGAACCACAGCATGTCCTGCTAAGATATGAAGATGCTTATCAATACCAAAATATTTTTGGTCCTCTCGTCAAGCTTGAGGCAGACTATGACAAGAAACTCAAGGAGTCGCAGGTAATATGCTTGGAATGTGCCCCTTTGAGGGGGCTTCTGATGAGCACTCTGATATCAGACACATGGACACTGTTAACAGCACAGAAGGAAGGCTCAGGGGAAATAAATGTCTTTGTTACAGTGATACTACATCCCAGTAATGGCAGTAGTAATGGTGATGTATGGTAGCAGGGACAGGAAAGAAAAATCCTCAAACTGAGGTTTGAAAAAAGATCTCGAAGCACTTGAAATTCCATCTTTTCTGTGTTCAAAGTTTATTTTCCCAAGAACCACATTCTGTCGAAGAACTGCAACTTGGCCACCTTTTATGTTGTTATCCTCATAACCTGCAGTTACCTTTGTCAGTCAGTTTCCAGTCAAACTTGAATTGTGTGAGCACTTAATGCTTTCAAGGTGGAGGGCGGGAATAATGCAGGTGGTGATTAGGACTTTGTTTCTCATTAACCGAGGAACTCTCTTGTAGAACAGAATTACCTTCTGTAGATGGTGTGAACTTGGTCCATAAGAATAAATACAGATATTTGTCTACACTGTGACACTGGAACAGCAAGTTTTGTATTTCTCCACTATTTTGAAGTACAGGACAGTGAGGACTCTGGTAGTTGGCAAACAGCTCTTTAAGAACATAATAGATGCCTTTTCTTTACCATTAGACCCAAGATAACATCACGGTCAGATGGGACCTGGGCTTGAACAAGAAAAGAATTGCTTATTTCACTTTGCCAAAGACTGATTCAGGTAATGACAGCTTGATTGTGTATTTTGTCTGATTTTTTTTTTTTTTTTTAATGCCTGGTGAATAGCATCAGTGTTTAAAGAACTGTCATGATCTGGCCTGGGATATAGGCTAGTACTGTAAGTTTTTTGTATTGAGGGACGGATGTTTGAATATTCTGAGAACGTTTTTTCCTTTCTCTGTAGATATGCGTCTTATGCAAGGAGATGAGATCTGCTTGAGGTATAAGGGAGACCTGGCCCCTTTGTGGAAAGGAATTGGTCATGTTATCAAAGTTCCTGATAGTATCCTTTACTTAGTTGAGCCTTCAGGAAGGCTTGATTGAAGGTTGAAATCTTTCCTGAGAAATCAGTAAATGTGTATAAAAGTAATTTTGAGATCATTTTAATTTGTCATGGGGGGTCTGCTAAAAAAATAATAATTGGGGAAAATAGAATTCAAATTTTTACTATAGATTACTACTTAACGAGGTTCTACAGATTATGGTGATGAGATAGCTATTGAGCTGAGGAGCAGCGTTGGAGCGCCTGTGGAAGTCACTCATAACTTCCAAGTCGATTTTGTATGGAAGTCTACTTCATTTGACAGGTACTGAGAAAGCACTTCAACACTTGGCAGATAATAGGTGCAGTTAGTCCATATTTTTTATGGTATGTATTAATTTGTGCCTGATATCTGGTTAACCTTTGTGTAGGACACTTGTGGATAGTTTTATCTGAAGTCATACTGATTTTTTTTCTTCCCTGTCCTTCCCTCCTTTCAGAATGCAGAGTGCTTTAAAAACATTTGCTGTGGATGAGACTTCAGTGTCTGGGTACATCTATCACAAACTGTTAGGTCACGAGGTAGAAGATGTAATCATTAAATGCCAGTTGCCAAAGCGCTTTACAGCACAAGGACTTCCTGATCTCAACCATTCTCAGGTAACCTCATCTCCTTTGTACTACGTGCAAAGAATATGATAAAGGATTTATGAATAGAGGTTGAGCAGCTTTAACTTCTACGCATTGAATGCTAAATAGCAATAAAATTTTTTTTTATAGGTTTATGCTGTGAAGACTGTCCTGCAGCGTCCTCTGAGCCTTATTCAGGGTCCCCCTGGTACGGGAAAAACGGTGACATCAGCCACAATTGTCTATCATCTGGCTAGGCAGGGCAATGGGTGAGAAATATTCTCTTTAAATCTTTGAGGTTACTTCATAATGGTCAAAGAAGCATCTTGATTTTAAAAATTAAAATAATTTGTATCATTGAACTAAAAAGGCTTTCTGGAAGTATATTATTCTGAAAAGACTTTTGCTTGTTTCAGAAAATATTCTTTCCCAACGTATTTTTAGAGGATGTGTCATAATTCTGATTTTGTTACGAGTCTAGTGGAAAAGAGTTTACAGCTCATTGAGACTTTTTGCTTCATTTTTTTTCAAGGCCTGTGTTAGTCTGTGCTCCGAGTAATATCGCTGTAGATCAGTTGACTGAGAAGATCCATCAAACTGGGCTGAAGGTGGTTCGTCTGTGTGCTAAAAGCCGTGAGGCAATTGACTCTCCTGTATCCTTCTTGGCATTGCATAACCAGATCAGGAACATGGACAGGTAAGAAATGGTCGAAGGGGGCAGGGGAACAGAAAACCAGTTTAAATGTTGTGATAGACACACAACTGATGAACTGTGTAATGATGACAATGTGTGTGCTTCATGTGATAACTTTTTTGTTATATATACATGTGTCATATTGAATTTTACAAACGAGTTCCACTGTAATCCTACGAAGTTGTTAATTAGGCCCTAAAGCAAAATTCCTTTTTTTGCAGCATGCCAGAGCTTCAGAAACTGCAGCAGCTTAAAGATGAAACTGGAGAACTGTCGTCTGCTGATGAGAAACGTTACCGGGCACTGAAACGAACAGCAGAGCGTGAATTGCTTATGGTAAAGTTCCTTCGGTTCTAGCGGCTTAAATAACTTTCTGCCACAAGGCTTAGTTGCAGTTTGCGTTCTTCCATGTAGAAATATTGTCTATCGATATCCTACTTGATTAATTTCCTTGCATTTCTGTCTCAGAATGCAGATGTGATCTGTTGCACCTGTGTGGGAGCTGGTGATCCAAGACTTGCAAAAATGCAGTTCCGCTCCATTCTGATTGATGAAAGCACCCAGGCTACTGAGCCCGAGTGCATGGTGCCGGTTGTCCTGGGAGCGAAACAGGTAGGATCCGTTGGATTTCAGTAAAGAAAAGACTTTATAAATAGAGGAAGTAGCGTCAAGCAGCAGCATTGACAGTGTAGGCACATAGGGGTACAAGAGTCCTTTCCTTTCATGGAACACAATTACATAATATAGACGTAAATTGTTTTGTCTTTGCTTTGATCTGAAGCTTCTTACAAATCAGACTGATTGGTTCCTGATATATTTTATGGGAGGATATTGCTATTGTTTCTAGCTATTGGGCAAGTTTCAGAAAATACCAACTGAGATCAAACTTTCTTTTCCCCAGCTTATTCTTGTAGGTGACCACTGCCAGCTTGGTCCTGTTGTGATGTGTAAAAAAGCTGCAAAGGCTGGCCTGTCTCAGTCCCTCTTTGAGAGGCTCGTTGTGCTGGGGATTCGTCCGATTCGCCTGCAGGTGCAGTATCGCATGCATCCTGCCCTCAGTGCTTTTCCATCCAATATCTTCTATGAGGGTTCACTCCAGAACGGTGTTACTGCAGGTAAGCAAGAATAGTACGTCTGCCAATTACCTTTTTTTCCATTCATTAAGGATCAAAGGAAGGATTCTTTAACCTAGATGAGTTTTAATACATTTGCTTAAAAAGAGAATTGCCATTGCACTTAGAGTTCTGAGTCTTGAAGGTGCTTTGATATGAAAATTAGTGTTTTTGCTAGTAAAGGAGTGTTAACTTTTTTACTTGCTGTTTTTGCGCTCTTCAGCGGACCGTGTGAAAAAAGGTTTTGATTTCCAGTGGCCACAGCCAGATAAGCCGATGTTTTTCTATGTTACACAAGGACAGGAAGAAATTGCCAGCTCAGGCACCTCTTACTTGAACAGGTAAGCAAAATTCAACACTGAGAACTTAACACTGGGAGGAAGTATTTTGGTGGGCATGCAAAAGGGATGGGAATTTAATTCTCTTTTTTCTATCCCTTTTTTTGGCACGTTGCAACTTCTTTTTGAAAGAGTGAGCTTGAAACATTTTGCTCCTCTTGGTCACACGCAGTTGTTCGTGTGCCTGGAAGGGAAACCAGACCAACTTATGAAAAATATCTGCTGTGATATTTTTAATCTCGGTCTGTTTCATGAACAGCATGTGCAAGACTGCTGAATGCAGCACGCCAGATTGTGCACAGACAAATGGCACAATAGTTGGCTGGCAGGGAAGATTGGCATTAAAAACGTTCTATATTTAAAACTTTAAGATAAAGCAACTGAAGGATCTGTTTGCACAGCAGGCTGGAACATTGTTAATGATCTCACTCAAAAGTACACGTGTACATTTAACTCTACGAAGCAGTTCCATTTCAGAATGATGGCCATCAGGAATTTTGCTATTCTAGGAAATGTAGTTCTGTTCTGAGAAGGTGGAGGGGTATATTAAGGAGAAATCTTGGTGTCATTCTGAGACATTTTTTTGAGATGTCAGCTTTCACCCGTATTCCTCTGGCTGAGAATATCTCTGCATGGCCTAAGTCAAGAGGTGATAATTGTGAATGTTCCTGCAGAGCTTAAGCTGAATTAATCGCAGTGCTCAAGCAATGCCATGTAAAACTGATCTTGTTCTTGAATCATAAGTGCTAGCACAGCACGTATCTTCAAGTTTTTTAGACCCATTACCTTGCAAAAAGTTGTCCCTAATGCCTTGATTCTCCTTTGATAAACAAATCTCTCTTTCTAGGACGGAAGCTGCCAATGTGGAGAAGATAACTACAAAGCTATTGAAAGCAGGTGCCAAACCAGATCAGATTGGCATTATTACTCCTTACGAAGGTCAGCGGTCCTATCTGGTGCAGTACATGCAGTTCAGCGGTTCCTTGCACACAAAGCTCTACCAGGTACAGAGTCCTTGTACAAACAAGAACGCTTGGATACAGAGAAGCTAGAATAGTCAGATATTGTGAAACTTCACAATATTTTCATTTTTAGTCTGGCTTTGTAGGCGTCAGTCTGCGTTTATTCTTTGGTAATTTTAGAGTGCTTTAGTTGATGGTAGTTAAAATAAGCCAAGGAGAGAAGAGTTTAGGAGGTATGAAATGCCAGCAAGTGTCAGGGGAGCAGTTGACCAGATAAAGGATAAAGCTCTGTTAAAGGTCTCTGTTGAAAGGAAGGCTTCAGCGAGTCCGTCCTCTGAGGACTCATTGAGGCACAGGAGGGAGAGGTCATTAGTGCTTCAGCTGTGGAAAAGCTTCCGTCAGCTTGTGTCTTAGATAAAAGCATCACGCCAAGAGCCATGCAGGAAACCAAGCTCCATAAATCCTGATGGTCATACTATTTATTTGCTTGGGAATACGTCCTCCCGTCAGTGGAACTCCTCTACCAAACATTAGTATTTGTTGCTACAAACAAGGCGGTTGTACATTTAATGTAGTCTGTTTTGCAATATTGAGAACTTGGTCCATGTTTTCACTGAAGGGAAGACTTGGTGGAAATATTTTTACTTCTGCCAGGAATGATCTGTCCCTCTGATTCAGGTTTCTTGGTAGCTGAAAGCAGCAGTGCTAATTTGGAGCTGTCTTACTACAAGACTTTGGAATAGTCAGAAGTCTTTTTGGCTACATACCTAGAAAAGGGATGCTTTCCATAGTGCAAATGCCAGTTTTTGGGGAAATATGAGAACCATAAAGCAGTGAACGTAAAAGTAATTTGTCCTAAACTGAGACTGTCTGTTCTCCTTTAGGGAAACTATTTAGTGACCAGTGGAATTACCAAATCATTCGTTATTACCAAAAAAAATAACTTTTTTTCAAGTGATGGGAACCGCTAGTGCACAGCCAACAAATTTGTGTAATATCTGTTGATAGCATGACTGTTTTGCGCTGTGCTTCCGTGATTTACATGTTTTCCTCTGTTTCAGGAAGTGGAAATTGCAAGTGTGGATGCCTTCCAGGGAAGAGAGAAGGATTTTATTATCCTTTCTTGTGTGAGGGCCAACGAACACCAGGGAATAGGGTTTCTGAATGACCCCAGGCGTCTTAATGTAGCTCTTACAAGAGCAAGGTAAGGTCAAATTGGACAATTTTTTATCTATTCTAGAGACCTACTGCAATCTGCTAAAGCATCGGTACAGTCTGACTAACCAAAGGTCTGTGTTTTGTGGGTAGCAGGCGTGTTCCCCACCCTCCCTGGTTTAAAGGAGCCTTGAATGATTTCCACACTCCCTACAATGTACAAGAGCAGTCTCAATCAGCGTTACCGTTTGGCATCAGTGATCTGTAGAAGCCAGCATGTGGTTCCCCTTTGCAGGACAGAACTCTTGCCTTCGTTCTCTGGTTTCTGCAAGCTTTCAAACCAGTACAGTGTGGTGGCTGGTTGAGCATGCTGATGTGTTTGGCAAACCCTGTGAGAGGAAGCTTGTGATTATTGAGAAAGTGGCTGCAGCAATCTCCTTTCAAGAGTTTTGTCATACTACAGAAATGATCTGCTGTAAACAAAAGAATTGTGTCAGGGTCCCCTGCGCAGCTGATTTACTGCCAGAGAGACTGGCTTCGAGGCTGCTCTGACACTAGTGTGTAACATGGTTTTATTTTAGTCAAAGTTAATTTTAGATTGTGTTTGTCTGCTGCTGTATAGGTATGGAGTAATTATTGTTGGGAACCCAAAAGCACTGTCTAAACAACCACTTTGGAATCACCTGCTGAATTACTACAAGGAGCAGAAGGTGCTAGTGGAGGGACCACTGAATAACCTCCGGGAAAGCCTTATGCAGTTCAGCAAGCCGCGGAAGCTCGTCAACACCATCAACCCCGTAAGTTGACCTCTCCTGTCTCTGTTTGCGGTGTGAAGCAAATGGGATTTGATTGATCAGTTCTAAATGGATGGAATAAGCATGAATTTGAGAATTAATTTGAGACAGGCTGCCTGTAGAATCTGGTTTTTTTTTTCCTTCCTTGTTATCATGATGTAGTTGAAACAGTAGCTGGAAGCTGGATGCTTTCCATATATTAGAAGTAGTTTGTTTCCTCAGCACTTGTAAAGTGTGCATTGTCTGTGGAATTTTATTGGATTCTTACCCAAAATAAGTTACATTGAAGATGCAGTCCTAAGTTTTCCACATAAAGGCTTTGTCTAACTCCTGCAATGCTTCCAGGGTGCCCGTTTCATGACTACTGCCATGTATGATGCACGTGAGGCTATTATTCCAGGATCTGTCTATGACCGGAGCAGTCAAGGTAAAGGAAGCTATCAGAATTAACACCTTTAGAGATTAATTTTCTTTTTTCCCCCAACTAGTCCTTGGGTTACAGTATCTTACAGACTTCTAAATGTTTAAGAGCCACTACAGAAAAACAGGGAATTTAAGAACTGGAAATGTTCATGATGTGCCTGGATTTTGCTCTCTGTATATAGAAGCCTCTGCTTGATGTAGAGCAAGTGAAAAATGAGGGGAGAGGGAACTGTGTGTGTGTGTGTGTAAGCATTTCAGGACTCTTTTACAGCACCATCCAAGATTAACTGTGTAGGGATGTGTGAGATGAGTCTCTGAAATTTTTCAAGTGTGGAATAAACAGTGAACTAGAAATATTGGTGATTCTTGGCAGTGGTAGGCTTGTCCTTTCGGTTTCTGGTTCTCATTTATCCTGCTCACAAGTCCTCCCATTACTGTTAAAAGCAGGAATATTAATTGATTTTTAAATACCCAGGATGCCTAAAATCCCTGTGGCTTTTCCTCCCCTCCCCAGGGCGCCCATCCAACATGTACTTCCAAACCCACGACCAGATCGGGATGATCAGCGCCGGCCCCAGCCACGTTCCTGCCATGAACATTCCTATCCCTTTCAACCTCGTCATGCCACCGATGCCACCACCGGGATACTTTGGCCAGGCCAACGGACCAGCCGCAGGTATGGGGGCAGGGGGGAGACGGTTCAAAGCCACATTTTAGGTCTGAAGCGAGGGAATGATTTTTCTTCCTCCTGCAGCAGTGCTTATGAGTGCAGGAGAGGTGCTTCACTAATAAATCTGAGTTGTATGGGGTACAACCACAACAGCACTGCAGCCTCCAGTGGGTCCTTTTGCCATGTTTTTGTGCTGGTGGTTCTGCCTTTTGATTTCTCTGCACCTGCATCTTTATAAAAACTGTTGATTTTCATCTTTGTATGCGTAAGACTTCTCACTGTTGGTTGGGATAAACACTTTTCCAGGACGTGGGGTGCCAAAAGGAAAGACTGGTCGTGGTGGGCGCCAGAAAAATCGTTTTGGGATTCCTGGAACTAGTCAGTCAAACCTTCCCAACAGCCAAGCGAGCCAAGATGTGGTGTCCCAGCCTTTCTCCCAGGGTCCACTGACTCAGGGGTATATCTCCATGAGTCAGCCATCGCAGATGAGTCAGCCTGGGCTCTCCCAACCAGAATTATCACAGGTAAGCAGAGTCTGATCTATAGTCTGCTCTTTTTTCCTGGGTTTTCTGTCCTTGATCTGTGTGTATGCACATCCGTGTTTCCCAGTACTGAGGAAAATGGAAACTAAAACCATTTTCAATTACTCAGCCCCAGCATTTTGTGCTCCTCCACTTGCTGGACTTTTGAAGTACACTTGGACATAAAAGTGAAATGCTGCATGTATAGACTTAGTTCGAACCTTAACTTTTAACTGCTTGCCTGTTCAGCAGCCAGCTATTGCAAAAAACTTTTGGTTTGTGGAAATTCTGCAGCAAAAAGAATAGATTAAAAAAAAAAAACAACCCACAACCCAATGACCAAACAAAAAAACCCCAATAAAATAAAACCTCTCAGACTTAATCATAAACCTTGGCTGCGAGGTATTCTATGTAAGGGAGCACTTGAGCTTGATGATGAGTGTGAGGCTTAACACCCACTTTCATTTTCAGGACAGTTACCTTGGTGATGAGTTTAAATCTCAGATTGACGTGGCGCTGTCACAGGACTCTACTTACCAGGGTGAACGGGCATATCAACATGGCGGAGTGACGGGACTGTCACAGTATTAGAGTGTAAGGCACCTGAGGGTCACTCCTCTGCTTCCTCCTCCCCGATTTCAGTTCACAAACACGGTGTTTGTCTTAAGAGAGACGTCCCTAATGCAAGTGTTGTTTTGCTTCCTTGCTTTCAGGTTGAGGAAGAAGAGCTAAGCTTGTGTGGAGCTTAGTTCATCAGCATTTTATTCTGGGTAATAAAAAAAATAAAATAAAATGGATACCTGTTTTCCACTGCTAAAACTGAAGCACCACTGTGTGAGAGCAACAGGAGAAAGAAACCAACCAACGGAGAGGAGAGAAAGAGAAAGGAGCGCGCGCGAGAGAGCCCACTGCTAGCTCACTGAGACAAGGAGACTGACCGGAGAGGAGAGAGAGCACCGAAGGACTGGCTGGCGCCTCACTGGGAAGGCAACTCACCCTGAAATGAGTGGTCAGCTGAGTCCCTGCTCCCCCAGTCAAACAAGCTCAAGAGAAGGGCCTTAGGCAGGTTTCACTTCATTCCATACTTCTCTTTGCGAGCAGGGCATTACTTTTCAGAGCAGATGAGGAGAGGAAAACCCTCATCTCAGAGTTGTTCTCATTTTAAAGGGGTACTATATTTTAGCAGTAACTGTTTACATTTTAGAAGCAGAGTATCTGAGAGAGAAAGAGAGAGAGTTCCTGACTAAGTGACAGCGAGCCAAGCAGAAATCCAGCGGAACATAGCTGATGCTCAACTCTGAGATGCAGGTTTTGTTGTCCAACGCTGGCTCTGAAATCCTAGTGTCATCGTGTCGCCCACATTCTGAACGGGTCTTTCGTGACAAGGTGGTTTTAAAGAGATTCTTTCAAAGGAGCACTGAATTTTTAGAAGTTTGTCTCTGAATTCTTAGTGGTGGACCTGGGAGATCCTTGTTCTGAGAAGCTTACAAAAAGTTTAAAACTAAATTAGAGCACCAACCTTGAGAACTTTCAGTGTGATTAAAAGTTGCAGCAATCAGCCTCTTCTTCCTACATTGGATAGCAGTTAGAGTGAAAGGAGCCTGCGCGCTCGAGCAGGAGGAGGGTTTCAAAGTGTTTTCTGTATGCTTTAATTGGCTACTGTCTGGACTCTACTCTGTGAAAAACAAGCCTTTCTGTAAGATGAACTTTGCGCTTGAAAGGGGATGGGTTCCTGTGCCCTTCGGCCCTGGAGGAGAAGATGCTAACAGGCCTGCTTTGCTCACTCCCTCAGATCTGGGGAAGAAGTAGTGGAAACTGGGGATTATATTGGTTTTGAAGTAAAGACTCTACAATGTTACTGAAGCAGGTTGGCGAAATGGACAAAGCAGGCAGTTGTTGGAAGGTGGCCTCTGATAGCTGGGTATGAGCAGAGATAATGGGTTAGGCTTTTGTGTGGCTTCTTTGGTGACTCATGCAGATTAGCTGAAAGATTCAGGTGTTGAAAACCAAACCCGGAGCCTAGTTTTCAGGTAGCGGACACAGCTGTGCCATCAATGCTGGCTTGAGAAATAGCTGGAAGTCAGAACTGAAAACAGCACATAAGAGAAGCCATCCAATTTTGAAGTTGTACCCATGTCTTAAATAAGTCATATGGGAACACTGGGAGCATTTTATTTCTGTCTAAACCTTTTTAGAAACAGCGCAGAGAACTTAAAATTCCTACAGACCCATTTTTATCAGATCCCTAAATTAGACTAACCTCTACCTCCTAATTGGCAAAGATCAGTAGAGTGTGATTCGCTAACCTCAGTGTTTTTAAAGTTTGAATTAAGTTAGCTTTATACTCAAAGGGCTCCAAGTGTTTCTAGTCTTTTTTTTTTTTTTTTCTGGGGGGAACTCAAAATACCTCTCATTTGAATGTACTTAAATGATGTAAAACCCACTTTTTTGTAACTGGGGGGAAGCCCTTTCATTACTGTCCTTTCTGTAGATCGTTGACCCGCTTTCATAACCTGTATTTGCTGTAGTTTTTCCAGGAGTGTCTCTCCCCCAGTGCAGACCTGGTGTAGCGTACCCACAACCTGTGAGTAGCGTGCACATAAACATGGAACAGGTGTTCAAAATTTTTGTTCAGTCCTGCAGTGAACACAGTTCGAGAACTGCAGTAGAAACTTTCCAGAAACGAAAACCATTCTTTTCTCATAAAAAGCCTCCAGAGTTTAGACTTCTAAAATGTGAAAGAATGGAGACACAGGCCACCTTCCTTCCTTGTAAGATGGACTGTTTTATTTATTAACATTGCCGAAGGGCTTTTTAATTTTTTTTCTTCTGTAGGCTGTGTAGTTGCATAGACTTTTCCGATAGGTTTAAGCTGTCCCCCTCTGTGCAATGCAATCCATTGAGTAATGTAAGCCCCTCCTCTCCCCTCACCCCCTTTATTTCACTGATGGGAATGCTTGCCTCTGCTTTGTGCTGGTTTTTTCCTTTGTAGCAGTTACTCTGAGTTTTATAAATCCAGACATCAGTGCTAGCACGGTGTTACTCTTTTTTGATTTTGTCTCAGTTTGTTTTAAACCTGTTTGTCATCAATAAAAATATTAATAAACAGCTCTTGCATTCAAGGTGGCCCCTACCTTTCAATGATGAAACCATGCAACATTCATTAAACCTTAGTCTGATTGTATAAACTTCAAGTTTATTACTTTTTTTTTTTAAACACAGACTAGTACAAAAGTGGGGTGTGTGCATAGCATCCGTGGGTAAGCGAATGAACGGTGAAAACTCTGTTAAATGCCCTACCCCTCCTCCCTCCTCTGCCTCCAAGGAGGCTGAGCTGTGGGGGTCTGTGCCTGTGCAGGGGGAGTGACAAAAAAACTGATTCTAGAGCCTTGATGATCTCCTGCCTCCCCTGGGCTGCAATAAACATGAAAATGGTGTTTACCTGTGTTACAGGGGGTGACTCAAAGCTTGCCCTGGCTCTGGTGGGGGGGGACTGGAGACCAGGCTGGCTGCCCCAGGTGGGGCTGCAGTGTTCAGGACAGGGCTGGGAGGGACTTGGGGAGCTGTCTGTCTGTCTGGGGCTGTAACTCACCTCCTTATGCTGCTCCTCAGCCTCTTCATACTTGGATGGGGTGACAGAGGGGGACAGTGGGTGGCTGTTGTACCTACTGCATGTTAAAGGAGCTGAGCCCTTCAGACCCTTAGTCTGCCACAGCCCAGGTACAAAAAAAACCTAATACTTAAAGGTTTTCTTAATCCTGTCCATCTTAAATTTGAAAGAAATGGCTCCTGCTTGCTTTAGTTAAGCCCTAGTCTCAGCCCTTAAAACATTTACATGCTTGAAATGGGTCTCAGCAGAGCTCATGTTCAGCTGCTGGAGTGAAGCCGGGCTGCCCTGCCCTGCCATGCTCTGCTAGTCCATGGCACTGTCCTGAAACACAGGTGGAGGCAAAAACATGAGTACAAACCACACCTGAAGTACTCGAGCTACTCCAGTCTTGGTCTTCAGCTACACAGCTCAGGAGTGTTAGCAAAAAACCACGGTCACAGGCCAGGGAGGCATCTCCTCTGCACCCCCAGCAGTGGTTAAACCTTCAGTGCTGCCCCGGAGGGAAAGGCCCAGCTTAGCTTGGGAATACCTCCTCAGACCATGAAGATAATACATAATCAGTACAAAAAAAATAAAAAAATCTAGGCTATGGTGTCAGGTTCACATTTAAAAAAAATAATAATTCAAGTCTAACTCAGATTCCTTTTCTGTTCTGCCCCCTACCCCAAAAAGAAAAGCAAAGCTGCGATAGGAAAGCCTCACCTGGAAGGGCTGGTGCTAAACCCTGCCCTGGGGGCTGTTCAACACTCCACACGGGACCAGCTTTGCACAGGCTTAAACCTCCAGCGTCTGTAAGACTGCGCAGCCCTTGTGCTGAAAGGTGGAAGAAAAGCGGCAACTCCTCCATGAGTGATCATCATTGCTCGGGTGAGATGGTGCAAAGCTGGGTCCCTGCTGCACAGCGAGCTCGTTAGTGGTATTAAACAGACGCGGTAAGAGCACAGGCACGCTGGCGATGGGCTGGGTACCACAGCCAACAACAACGAAAAAAAACCACTACCAAATAAAAAAAAAATGAAAAAAAAATAACACTGAAAAGTACAACTGCCTGAATGTGGTGGCTGCACGCCGCAGGGCTGCCGGTGCCTGATGCTCGGGTGCCACCTGGCTCCAGCCGCAGTTCAGGCAG